CCTGAGGCTCTTTGTGAATGGGGCGGCATAGAAATGTTTTAAATAAATAAATAATTCTAGCTAGCTTCCGAAGGCACTTTTGTGGTGGCAGCTTTGTCACAGTGGCAAGGGATCCCTGCTGATAGCAAGGCGAGGGGGCTGATGAGGAAAGATGAATAAGCACCGGTAGCAAAAGAGAAGTGGGGACCTGTGCGTACCAGGGCTGCTGCAGAATAGAAGAGGTGAAGAGCATGGCAGGGCAACATCTACATCTGCCTTTTCGTCCAGGTATTCAGATGCGCTGTTGGCCAGGGGTGTGTGTAAGTTTGCCTCCGTCCCCATACACACTGCCTCCTTCCTTCACGACCTTCACAGGTTCTGAAGGTGGATTCCTTTCAGACCTTCTCCTGGTTATGCAAAGGTCAAGACTGGAAAGGGTGGTGCCACTGTGTGGTGCGGAAAATTGGGTGAGGCCTGGTCTGGGAGCTTTGGGCCTCTTGCACACTGCACACCTGCATGCATTCCAGCGAAATGTCTGAGAAAAGCACTCGTAGCTAACAAAAGCAAAACTGGGAGCTTCTTTAAGAACCGCTGCACACATATTTTGTTTGCTTTTTGGCTCTGGCCTCTTGGCAGAGCAGCAGAGCAGCAGAGGCACAGGCTGGGAGCGAGTGCTGAGTGGCCAGGGGACTGGTGAAGGCAAGGTAGGAGCTGGGCAGGGGAGCAGAGGGCCAGGAGCAGCGGAGAGGAAGGGGGGCAGGGCCAGTGAGGCTAGAGCAGCCAGGAGGTAGCGGACAGGAGGGGTCACCGGCCGGAGGGACTGATAAGGCCGCGCTCAGCCACTGCCAGCCCTTTTGGCTCTGGGCTCTTGGCAGAGCAGCAGAGCAGCAGAGGCACAGGCTGGGGGAGAGGGCTGAGTGGCCAGGGGACTGGCGAAGGCAAGGCAGGAGCTGGGCAGGGGAGCAGAGGGCCAGGAGCAGCGGAGAGGAAGGGGGCGGGGCCAGAGGGGCCGGAGGGGCCAGGAGGGAGCAGACAGGCGGGGCCACCGGCCGGAGGGACCGATTAGGCGTCGTCCCTTGTCTGCGTCCCTTAGCAGCCGCCCGGGCTGTCCGGAGACTCCCTTCCCTGGGAGGCAGAGGTTTGTTTTGTTTTGTTTTATTTTGTTTTGTTTTGTTTGTTTTGTTTGTGCTGTGCTGTGCTGTGCTGTGCTGTGCTTCCAATTTAAATTTAAGTTTATTTTATCCTTGTGTGTGTGTGTGAGTGGGCTTTTGCCTGGGAGAACTGGGCGAGTGAGAGGAACTGCAGGAGAAACAAGGCAGGGGACCAAGGTAAGGTCTCGGAAGGGATACCGATGGCAGACCAGGAGATGGTCTTGGCAGGAGTCACGGGTGTTGCTGTCCGCTGTGACAGCTGCGACATGTTCACCCTTCTCCCCCAGGAGAGACAGGGATACACTTGCCCTCGGTGCAAGCTGGTGACCCTGCTAGAAGAGGAGGTGAGGTGCCTGAGGGCCGAGAGAGCTCTCCAGGCCCCCCGGGAGCAGCCCCACTCTGGACAGAGGGTTGAGGGAGAGGCCATGGGAGGAGCAGCCGCGGAGACATGGAGGCATGTCACCCACAGGAGGAGGAGGCCAGCACAGCCTCCTCCTTCTCCTGGCACCAGTCTGGAGCTGGGAAACAGGTTCTCTCCACTTGGGGAGGCTGGGGCTGATGAGGCCTCAGGGGACCAGCAGGACCCCCAGCCTGGGATGTCAGGCGGCTGCAGGAGAGGTGAGGGCCAGGGCACGGCCGCCCACCAGCACCGGGAAGGTACGGCGGCGGGTGATTGTTGTTGGGGGCTCTTTGCTGAGGGGCACTGAGGCGGCGGTGTGCCGCCCCAACCTAGAGACAAGGGAGGTTTGCTGCCTGCCGGGCACACACATCTGGCATGTGAAGGACAGAGTGGAGCGTCTTGTTCGCTCTAGGGGTCACCAGCCGCTCCTGGTGATCCATGTGGGCACAAACAACATGGCCAGGCAGGGTATGGTCGGGATCAGCAGGGACTTCGAGGCCTTGGGGAAGAAACTCAGGGAGCTAAAGGTCCAAGTGGCCTTCTCATCAATCTTACCAGTCCAGAGATTTGGGCCAGGCAGGGAAAGGAGGGTATCTGAGGTGAACAGCTGGCTTAGGGTGTGGTGCCAGAACGAATGCTTAGGTACAGGTTAGGTGACAAGTGGCTGGAGAGCAGAAAAGGACCTTGGGGTGCTGGTTGACTGCAGGCTGAACATGAGTCAGCAGTGTGATGCGGTGGTCAAGAGGGCGAACGCCACCCTTGGTTGCATAGCCAGAAGTGTGGCTTCTAGATCGAGAGAGGTATTACTACCACTCTATACGACTCTGGTGCGCTCGCAACTGGAATATTGTGCTCAGTTTTGGGCCCCTCATTACAGAAAGGATATAGCCAGGTTAGAGTCAGTACAGCATAGGGCCACAAGGTTGGTGGCCGGTTTGCAGGGAATGGGGAATGAGGCAAGACTGAGGGAACTGGGTCTCTTCAGCCTGGAGAAGAGGAGACTCGGAATATGTTGGCGACATACAGGTATGTGAGGGGATGTCACACGGAGATGGGTAGAGACCTGTTCTCTCCTGCAGAGGAAGGCAGGAGGTTGTTGAGGCCCCATCGGTGAGGGTGTTCAAAGATAGGCTGGATGTCCATATGGTGGGCATGTCGTGAGCGGAGCCAGCTGGTGCCGGAAGTCAGACTAGATGGCCCGGGAGGCCCCTTCTGACTCGCTCTGTTTTCTATGTTTCTAAACTGATAGTACGATGTTAGATCCAGATTGATACTGGATCAGCTCCGCTGAAAGAAGTGAATTTCCCTCTCCTCTCCTTGCCAGTCATTCCTTTTGCTTCTCTGTGTTAAGCCAGCAATGTATCTGATCGTCCCTCTTGGTATATGCCTTTGTTTTGACTTTTAGCTCTGCCCAGGCGAAGTGTTCCATGACTATAAATACTTTTATAGCATGGTACTTGTGGGCTATAAGGGCAAATTTATGGATGGATAGACTGATGACAGTGTTGCATTCTGGAATTTGCTGTTGGTGGGAAAACTAGCCAAGAGCCCATCCTTCAACAGCTCCCTTGCCCTACCCTCTCATTCTTGGAAACCAAGCTCATGGCCCCATTCCTGGTTCTAAGGATGTGCCAGCAGGAAAAACTGCTGGACTCCCTATCAAATATACTGTTGGCCGTAGAGGAAGACCTCACAACAAAGGGTACCATTGCTTGCTGCATCCTGCACAACATTTGCAGGTCCAGGGGGGAGGGGCATGCTCCTTCAGGACAACCCCCGGCTTGCAGGAGCAGGGGCTGAGAGTGACTCCACTGACATGGACGATAGCCCTAACCAGCCCCGTCCCTCTCATCCAGTGAGCCCTCCATCCGAAACAGTGGTCCAACATAAAGTGCATGGCGTTTGCACAGCTGTTGCTGACTGAATCCAGCCCTATTACCCGTGTTTGTATGGTGCATTGGGAAGGCACTGAACTCAGAAAAGACTGACAGAGTTACTTCTGCTCCATGAAGATGTTCTACAAGCTGGAATGAAGAAGATGAATCTCTTCCGCTGGATCACAACCCCATGGATGCTTGGTGGCCATGCCACATCCTTACCTCCTCTCCCCACAAGTAAATCTCTGGCAACCTCGAGCCATTCTTGTACTTCATAGGAGTCCTCATTTATGTGCCTGCCTGCCCCCATTGGTATTGCTTTCAGCAGCCAGTCCCGGTGTGAGCAAACTCTGCAGTTCTCGTAGTAAAGGTCAGACTCCTTGCTGAGCTGACTTAGATGAGTAGCCAGCACTGTTTTCTCAATGGCAAGAACTGTCTGCATAACATGCTACTAATCGTGGCTTCACAATAACAAGTTTTTAGGAGAGTCTGCTCATAAGAGAAAAACAACTAATATTGAAAGTCGAGAACCATTCCAAGATGGAGGGCAGCGCTTGTGGGTAAATTAAGCAGTGTGGGGAGTGATGTAGCCAGTGAGGAAGGAACTTCGGTAGGTGCGCTTATGCTGCAGGGGACCAGGTGGGGTGGGGACAGGGGTAAAAGAGGATTCTCAGGCTACAGGAAGGTGTGGGTGGGGTGGGGAGCAGATGAAGGGAGAGCCAGAATACAACCCATTTGTTGGGCTGCTGGGGACTGGGGAGCATGGTGAGAACAGTCGCTTTTCCTCCTGAAGGAGAGCAGAAGCGGGAGCACAGATGGGAGGGTGAGCCAAAGCGGCTTCTGCAACAGGTGGTGGGTGGAGAGGGCAGGAGAACGGGGGGGGGGCTACGGGGGGGGGGGGGGCAGGGGGAAGGACCAATGAGAGCCAGGAGCCTCTACAGACGTTAGGGAGCAGAAGGGGGTGCAGAGGAGGCAAATCTATTTCTCAAGTAAGTGGAGAGAGTGTCACACTATGCAAAGGCCAAGGTATGGGACAAAAAGATGACTCATCAATGGGAAAATGGTGGTTTAACTGAAAAAGAGGCAATTGATCTGCCAAGGGGAAGGACGGGGTTCAGAAAACTTTCCACTGGGAGCCACCTAAGGTGAGACATGTCAAGAGCTCTCAGAGGACCAAGAGCAGAAAAGCTGCTGAAATAGCAGGGGTGCAAAGGATCATGGGATTGGAATTTTCCCATCAGTCCCCCAGAATATATGCCAGGAGCATGACTCACATCACACCAGGCCATGGAGTGGTTGAACATCTGTATATTCAGCAAGCAACTAGCCTACTGTGGCTTCTTCTCGGGGCTGCTTACTTTGGCGCGCAAATGTACCATCAGGAGACCCTGTTCATAGAGTGAACTGAGGTTGGGCAGTGGGGGAATCCTCCCAGATTGGGGACAAGAATGTTCTATCAGCAAAGCCCTTCCTTGCTTTTACAGACTGTAGATCTTGGATCCTGCACGTGGCAAAGTAAAAGACAATGACAATATTCTTCTGCAAATTCCAGTGCTGTGTTACATACCTTTCTTTTAACATTTACCACTGCAGGTAAAGAAAGCTGTGCAGCAAGAAGGCTTTGGGCGGAAGAAGAGAGGATACAGAGATATCAATGAAATTGACATAAACATGAACGATCCTCTATTTACAAAGCAGTGGTACTTGGTAAGCAACAGGAAAGCTTCCTAACTAATTTTTTCTCACCTGGAAAGCAACCCCAGATTTGCCTAATGGGAAAGTTGTCAGGCAAATTGTGGAAGGGGGGAAATATGAAATGGGCTTCTTATTTCCAAAAGATTTTTGGCATGACCTGAGAAACTTTTTAAAGGCATGCTTCCTACAGCTTGTTGGCAGAGCTCTGCCGTGCATGCAGAAGGTCTCAGGGTCAGTCCCACCATCTCCAGGAAGAGCTGAGGAATCCCCTGCCTGAGAGGCTCTGCCAGTCAGTCTCAACAGGACAGGGCTAGACGGGCCCATGGCCTGACTCATACAAGGCAGCTCCCTGTGGTCCTCAGACAGGGGCAGCTTTTCCATGGCTTTCACTCCGTCCACTTTGGAAAGTGCAGACTACTGTTCTGCACTTTGCAATGCAATTTGTGCGATTGACACAAATGTATGCACTTTGTGCAAATTCACACGAATTGCATGGATTTGTGCAAATTTGGGACTGAAGGCCTGCCTATGTCCCAAATGTCCCATATTTATGACAACACTCACACATATCACTGCAGGTTTTAAAAACAGAAGTCTTCATTTTAACTAGATTTCTGTCAGGTCTTGTTGGAGTTGATGAAACAGAATCCATGGAGCTGGGTCAGGAAAACATAATGGACTTTCAGTCCTCCCCGTCAGATGCCTGTAAGAGGGAAGCATTTTATGTTCCACCAAACCTTGCTTTCTCCATTTTTTGGGTTGTCTCACATTAGTTGTCTTGATGAGTTCAGGCTCAATCCTATGCATGTTTAGACCAAACAAATCTTGCAATATTTCTGAACCAGTTATAAATTTGAGATTTGTGTGTTTTTTTTTTTTTGCCCACATATGCGTTATGTAGACACATATAAGTTAACTGCTGATTTTAGGATTCCTGGATTATGTATGCATTCAACATTTCTTTGAATATATTTATATCATGCTCTTGCACTCTGGCTGCTGTGTTTGCTACACTGAGTAACTCCGATTACACAATTTAGCACAACAAAAAAATTAAATACACACCAAGCATTTGTTTGAAATTTAATTTGGGGAGAATGGGCAGAACAGCCACAGGTTGTGGCATGGCTGTTTGCATGGCAAGGGCCAAAGGGCATGAATTCAGAGAGTGGTAAGCCTATTTTTAGTGACATTTGCTGACTGACAGTGTTAACTTTCCTGAAAAACAAGAGCCAAGTTAAAGCCAACCTCAGATTTATTTCCTTTGTTGTAGAACCGTTCTCATTGCTCACAAATGCAGTGAAGTCCTGTGGCTCCAATGTCCATGGGCAGCATATCTACTCTGAGTTTAGGCTGAATGTTAAAGGCACCATCCAGGCTGTAGAACCCCATTCCTCAAAATTGGATCAGCACCATGGATAGCTCCTTAAAAGTTCAGATGGCAGCCCAGAGAGTATGCACTCGTTTGGCTGACGTGGGAGTCACTAGCTTCCACTGCTCAGAGGTGGAGATGATGCCTCTGGATGTTCGGCAGTGAGAATCATTCGGCACATGTTCAAAGACAGAGGCACTGTCCTTTTTATTACTGCTTCACATGATCAAGGGCTGGATTTTGGCATTCAGACTACATTTCTGAGCTGTCCCCTGCAAGCAAAAACGGAGCAATAGAATCCATCAACCTTCTTGCACTGCCTCCTGTGTGAGAGCTGTACTTTAGAGGTCTTGGCTTCGACAATGGGGCCTCATTCTGGCCTGCATTTTGCAATCTAATGAGAGCCATTTTGTAGCAGCTGAACCAGACAGACTCTCGGCAGAGGTAAACAAATGTGGCAAGCAAATGCATCTCTTATGCCTCTTGTTTCTAATTTGATGCATTAGATCAACACCGGCCAAGCAGATGGGACTCCTGGCCTTGACCTTAATGTGGCTGAAGCATGGGAGCTGGGTTATACAGGGAAAGGGGTAACGATCGGAATCATGGATGATGGTGAGTGAAAAATTAAATATCCTGATGGTCTGAATAAATCTGCCCAACTTATTGTGACATGTGAGAGTTGCAATTTAAATTAAAGCTTTCTTCCATGACTCAGACTCCAAAACACTGAGATTTTAATGAGGACATTATTAGATATTCAGCCATATTTTTTAATAAGGAATCATCTACCAACAGTTCCCTGAGGATACAAGCCCATGGATATTTATGATCCATGTAAATCAGCCAAGGGTAGAACATTTTGGTTCATGAACAATGACTCTCAACTTATTTTGCTGGTTTAAACAAATCCCAATAGAACCCACTTTGAACGGAGCTCAAGAGAAAATTAGACCGTTACGATTAAAGCTCTTTAGGTGGTTTTAGGATAATGTAGGATGATGATGATGGGATAATGTAGAATACTGTTGGTGGTGGTGATGTTAAAAATAAATTGATTAGATCATGGGATCAATTTTAACATTGCCCTCCACTTACAGTATATGAAGTTTTAAATTTGCTCTGTAAGCTTTCCACCACACTGCTAAAAATAAGTGGCGAAATAGCTGTGCTGGAACAGATTCACAGAGGCCTCTCCTTGTAAGCAGAGATGCACCACAAGAGAAATAATGCCACTTGTCTACACAGCACACCACCCATTTGCCCAAGACTCATTGCTCTCTGGATGCTTTTGTTTGGGCTCACGGAGTGACATGAGTGTGGCTAGGCCCTGCTGGGTCCAATCCCTGCTGCTAGAAAGCCTTGAAGCTGGGAAGGGCCCGGTGCCTGGAGGGAGCATACAGAATGGAGGCAGGATCTCAGGTCACCGAAACAACAAGTCAGATTAAGCCAATGCGCAACTAATCAAGAAAAACCATGGAGGGTCACTTGCAGTCACTCCTTAATTCCATTTGTTTCAAAGATGGACCTTATTCTTGGGATTTCTGTGGTCCATGAAGGACAGAAATCCTCCCCAAAGAAAGGCTGAGATGTCTGAGGAGTTCAGCCTTTGAGAATTCTTGTGCAAAAGGTCCTGGTTCACACCTGTTGGACTAATCACGGGTGAGAATTTAGGCACCAAAGAGGTTTAGCACTCCTGAGTGCTGTGACACATTCCTTGGCCATTTGTACACAGTATCTCAAGCATAGAGTTTAAGTTGGAAGTAGATGATGCAGGTTTGGAAATAATATATTTATTGAAATGTAATAAAAATATGAAATACATATTTTAAGGTAAAATGCTCACTTAAATGTGTGATTTGGGAGGATTTCTAACTCTACCCCCTCCTACACACAGATTAAGATGGGAATGGGAATGGAAACCAACCACAGTCCAGAAATGGACAGATTCATGCTCCCCTTCCCAAAGGCCATAGGCAAACTAGGAGAGGTTCAGCAGAACTAATGGTGGAAGTGCCTTCTCCTCACTTTTCTCACCTCTCTAAAGCACCTTTTCCATTGCTACAGTTACAGTTCCTATTGTCTTACTGGGACTGTATCCAGCTAAGTCCTGGAGCAAAATCTGTTCAACCAAGTCAGAAAGCCAGCAGCTCAACAAGAAGGACAGTCTAAAAGTTGGGATCTACAGGGTAGAGGTGAAGCACAATCAGGAGAACAGGGACTTACCAGGAGTCCTGGAGAATAGCCCAAAGAAGAAGTAGCACTATGAAAACAAGGATGCCAGGTACCCGCAGCCAAAATAAAGGTGTTCCACCAACTGAGGTCTCAACTGAGAGCTTAGGGAGTCAGCTCTGACAGTCAGCACTGAGGCTGAGCTAGAAGCCATTTTTCCTGGCTTCGGAGCTGCCCTTCCTCGAACAATACCTTTATTCTAGACTCCAGATTATTGCAAGTCTTGAGGCATGCACCAGTGGCTGCTTGACGCTCTGCCGTCAGGTGCTGATACACTCTAGGATTGGTTGGATGTTCGGCCTCCTCCTCTGAATGAGCGGGCAAGGTACCATCCTCAACTGCTGAAGTTGGAGTATCACTAGAATCAGGGGTCTTACCAGGTCTGTAGTCTCTGCAATGCCACAAAAGCCTCTGCAAGGTCAGAAGAGTCATCCTTGTCCAGATGTGCATCAGGCAGGACAGTCCTGGGAGTGTGAGAGCTTCATAGCACCCTGGCGCTTGCTCCAGGAGGAAAGAGAGGAGGTAGGACACAGCTCAGGCATGCCAGGAAGTCTCCCTTTTCCTTCTGCAGAACTGGCCCTGTGTCAGTCTGGAGTTTCTGCCCTCAGCCTGCTGTGAATGCCTGCAGGCAAAGAGGAATGATGGAACAATGGTGATCGTGCACTGGACAGAACCGGTATCCGGTCTGCCAATTTTCAAGACTCATTGAATGCTGCAGAAATGAAAGAACAGCCCTGGGATTCTGGTAGAAAGAGACTGACTAATGGCAAAGCCCTCGTTTTATACCAAGGTATGCAAATGACCATTCCAGTTCCTAACCTATTGCCTCCTGCCTCCTTTCTATTTGCTTCCAGCCAATTAACAAAAGAACTCAAATTCCAGGCCAAACATTTCTAACATTTATTTTAAAGGGAACTTTTATCCTATGCCCATTTTTCACGTAGTCCCCACCAAAGCTCATTTTGTTGCGGTATTGATTTCTGTGTGTGCAATTCTATCAAAACTGCTGAGATGAGAAGCCGTACAAGGGGATGATGAGTAAATAGAGAGATGAAAGTGTAATTTGAAATGGGAAGCTTTTGTGGAATTCCACCGTGCTAGCTACAGGGAACAAATATTACATTTGTGCCACAGAGATGAAATGGGCTTTTTAGTCTTCCCATCACTAGTTCAAAAGCACTTCTTTTGTTTTCTCTCGCTGTTCTTGCCCACTTGAGTCCTGCAGTCTAAGCCCTTGCTAATGTGTCACGCTGCAGGCTTGCAGTTTTCCACACCCCAGCTGTGGCTAATACACTTGCAGCTGCAATGTGTGCCACCATTTCCCCTAACTGCTGTGAAAGAGCAGCACTCTAAAGTTGTATAGCAAGGGATGAATTTGCTTTGGCTATTGAGTCATATGAAAATATAATATTAAATAAGCTTATGACTATAAATTATACACTAATTTTAAAAACTACACAGAGGTGTGTGCGTGTGACTCATAAAAACTATATTAGCAACTTGTACTTGTTAGAATTGGACCTTCAAAATTCTGTCGCTCCAGAGAGCCAGTGTGATGTAGTGGTTAAGAGCTCAGGACTGGGACTCAGGCAGCCTGGGTTCAAGACCCCCTCAGCCATGGAGCCAGCTGGGTGACTCTGGGCCAGTCACAGACCCTCAGACCAACCTACCTCACAGGGTTGTTGTTGTGGGGATAAGACTGAGAGCAGCAGGATGAAAATGATGCAAGCCAGTTTGAGTTCTAAAAAAATAAAAAGAAAAAAGAAAAAGGTGGGATAGAATTATCATCATCATCATCATCATCATCATCATCATCATCATCAAGCAAAGTGCAGTGTCACTTAGTTTTGGGAGCAGGGGGTATTATTAGTTGCTGATAGTTATGTGGCACATACCACTCTCTGTCTTTGGGCAACAGAAGGTTTTCTCCAGACCTGCAAGGCACTGATCATTGCTTGGTGTCTCCTGCCTCTGATCTTCCTGTTTCATACCCGTCATTCCAGGCACTGCCATTTCCCCAGGGACTCTGCATTACCCCAAGGAGAACTCTGAAGTGCACTGGGCAGTGGGACGTCCCACTTCAGGGGCAGTCACTGGTACCCTTTTATAGCTTCCTAGCATGAGGACATGAACCTTGCATCTGCACCAGATTCTAACTTCCTGGAAATATCTCCTGTCCCTCAGATGTACACAAGTGTGAGACTGCAGGAACAGACACTGGCCCTTTAAGAACAGCAGTCACAGTCCAGTAAAGGTGGAGCCATGGAAAGGGCAGATTCTGGCAGTCTTTTTGGGGATTTCATTCACCACAGTCTTTTGCTGGGACAACAGCTCCTCCTTGGTGCATGCTCCACCCAGGATCTCTGGCAGGGTGCAATTCAGGGTCCTGATGTGACCCAGAACTCTGCTTCCTTTTCATAACTAGTTAGGGCAGTTTCTATCCTTACAATTTTGAATCTCCTTTTCACATTCTTTTCAAACTTTGCTGTCATGTACACTTAGATGACTTCTGGCTGGGGTGTTGGTAAGAAGCTGAAATTACATAGGCAGTGGGAATCCATGCTTTTAGAGCAATGAGATCAGGTGGACATCTAGCATGCTGCAAGGACACCCTAAGGCACCTTAAGGCATTCATTTGCCAGGCTGCTTCCTTGACTCTTAGCACTGTCGTCTATCTCTGGCTTCTTAATGAGATATTTTATTGGTTTTTTATGGCCTTCATGGTATTCTATCATGAGTCGGTCAACTACCTCGGTTTTTGTAAGGAAAAGCAGAATATGTATTTTCTAAAATAAATGAGTGAAGTGAAGTGCATGGGAAGGATACAGTTGATCATTGTATTGCCATGGCATAATGGCTGGCAAAGTGTGCCACTTGCCAAGACGCAGATGGGTTACAGCAACCTTCGCTCAGCTCAACGTCCTCCAGATGTGTTGTAGCAGAGCTCCCATCTTCACCAGACAGGCTGACTTAAGGGTAATGGGAGCAATAATCAAAAGCAACTAGAGGGCCCCCAGTTGAGAGGAATCCAGAAAGGAGCCCAGAGCCCAGATCTCATTGAAGACAGGCAGCAGTGTGGCCGAGGGTGCAGCTTGGGACCAATTTCAGCACCCTGACAGCCCAGGAGTCCCCCAGATGACCACCCAGGGAATGGCAAGTGAAGGGAGCAGCGCCCCAGTGTAAACACTGGCATGGGGATCCTGGGACCCACTAGGGCTGTTTCTGTACATCTCAGCATCCTTCATTCCTTTCTTTTTTTCAACAAATCCATGTTAGGAGTGATGGCCCAGGCATACACACATTTGCAAGTGCTTGTGTTACTTATCCTTTGCAAAAGTTATCCTTGTTCAAACAGAAGCAATGCTTATCCCCAGTTAAAAGGTTCAGCTGATTTTGATTTTATTCCTGTAGTCATGAGGCTGCTCTGATTTCAGTGATTTTATAATGCAAAACTGCACATGCTCAGGGCTTTTGGCCATCAGTTTGTGGCTTACTGAGCAGTTGTTGTTTGCTCAAGCATATGAGGAATGTTGAAGTGGTTATAAAGTATGGAACTGGGGTGAGAAGAAGAGAGATGCTAGCCCACAACTGAAGAGATGCACATGGCTGTCTGAAGAGCTCCTGCACAGAAGTCCATTCATTCCAAGGTCTTACAGTATTAAGCTTCCCTGCTGAAGGTGGGACCTCATTTCGTCTAAGACTTTGCCAGGTTAGAACTTGATGATGGAAAGGAGCACACAAAAACCCAACCCTTTTGATGCCCAGAATGGATCTTAACTGATTTTACCCTCTGAAGATAACTTAGGTGATTAAAATGACTTTATCAAGCCGCTTTTGTACTTTCTGTGACAGAGGTTTGCATCCCACTTCACTAACCAGCTCTTTAAACTAATTTAGTCCCAGTGATGTCTCTGGAACTGTGTTGCTTTAAACCAAAATGGATAGCATGTCTGATTCTCTTTTATCTTATAGTGGGAGGTAAGTTCTTGTTCTTTGTGTTATTGTTGTTGTTGTAGAACATGGACTTTGCAAAAAAGGATAGATGTAGTGACAGTGATATAATTATGATAACAAAGATGGATTCATTTCATAACCTTCAGATTTAAACATCTATAAGTACTAGGCAGCTTTTAGCTCTATTGCCAGGTGGAAATGGACAGCATTGTTAGTTTCTTGGCCACATCCAAGGCAAATGCATTTAGTGGAATGCATTTGTCTTCTAGGCAGTGGAGCTCGTCTATATTTTACAGCTGTAGGATTATAGATGGATATATTTGAGCATCAGAATAAATCTCCAGTTCCTGAGTTCTCATTAATGCCAAAATGCCAAAATGAACATGAACCAGACAAAGCTTATTCCACCAGACAAAGGCAGGTGTCCATTGTTCTAATGGAGTTGTTTGCTACATGAGGATTGTGGTGAGCAATCTGGAGCTAACTCATGTGGTCTCTGTAGGACTTGCCAATGTCATTTTGCTGCCTGAGACAGAGATGAGATGGTGCTCCCACTGCCCACCCCCATTTCCATTTCCAGAAACTGACCAGACAGGCAGTGGAAGCTTATGCCCACCCTGGCAATGGAGCAGTGCCCTCCTTTGCCCATGGTGGCAACAGGTTAACTTAAAGGGCACCGGGCAGGCCATGTGGTAGTCACAGATCTCCCCTTCCATGCCTCCCTGCTGCCCGCTAGCATCTGCTGCCTGCAGGGGCCGCCTCATTCCGTTGAATGCTCTCCAGTTGCCTGAAATCGGAATGAACTGAGCTAAATGAAAAGCACTGACACACGTGACCCCAGAGAGCTCAGTTCTCCCCAGTCCTACCTTGTCTTCACGGAGTGAAGGGATTTGGGGCAATTTCAGGGCAGCTGGAGAAACTGTAGCCCCCAGTGACTGTGAACTACTCCGGGGAAGAACAGGAGACATGATCTCAGCGGAACATGGGAAAGGCGAAAGCACTGGTAATGGAGGAGCTACCACTACTGAATGGGATTAGGAGCTAATGGGGCTGGAGAAGTGACAGTGTCTTAAGGCATAGAATGTTGGCCTGATGTTTTCGATCTTGGTCCCCTGGCCACCCCGTGTTACTGGCTATAGTGACCCAGATTTCATTGATGCTGCTAGACTTTAAGCATATCAGTTTGACAAGTGATGCCCACTGTGTCCTAAACTGTCTCGGCATTATATTTTCCCACTTAACCTCTGATCCAAGTACATTTCTGAACCTAGCCTGTTACATATTATAGTAGATCTGTTTCCTTTCCTTTCTTTGAAAGCTTAAATTTAAGTGAGAGTGAGCTGTAAGGCCAGTATCCTTCCTTGTGGTATTCTTATTTATGGAGTAATGGATTTCATGGCAATTCGCAGCATTTCAATTTCTGTTGTTTGGAATGTGTTAATAATGGTTTATTGTGCCATCACATAACTGTGTTTTGCTGAAATTACGGTTGTTATTTTAACAAGAGAAACCATAATATTTTGAATCTGTTCATCATGGCTTATGTGCTGTCATTGTATTTTACAGGGATTGATTATCTTCATCCAGACCTTGCCTCCAACTATGTAAGTACATGGTGTTTTATGCAGTATAATTCTGAGCATTCTTCTATAAGGATGATCTGCCCATTCTTTTAGAGGAAATATTTACCCACTTAGCATGTTAACAACATATTGCGGAATCCATGTTGATGATGAACAAAAGTGGCCCATGGTTAAGTGTGCAGTTAGGTAAAACATATTTGTCTCTGTGATCTGCATGTGAATCAAAACTGTGATGTATTTTGTCAGGGGGAATTATGTGGCTATCAAACTCTGAGTAAGTTTTCACTACCAATACTGAAAAATAGTATCATCTCACAAGTATCTCCTTTGAAAGAGCATTGTATTATTAATTTAATTTAACACAAAAGAGCAAATGCAGTTCCAAAACTGAGAAAAATCACAGTGCAATCAATTAGTAGGCATACTCAGATCAGTACTACTGTTTTCCAATCAAATTTATGCTGCATTTAGTTCCCGAAGATAAATGGCTTCTAAGACTTTTTTATCCATATTCCAGGATATTTTTTTCTCGAGTACTGAATAAATTTGTCCCATTAATCTAAGGAGTCATCATTTATACCTTCAGCCTCCCATATTTTTATGCAATATGAAAACATATGCATTATATTCTATGCCAAATATTATTTTCCCATTCCCATTAGAGATGGTATTTTTGTTGCTGTTTTCATTTTTTTCTGGGCTGAAATCAACATTTATGTTTTTAGTTACTCCCAATCCTCTCTCTTACCTTGGCGCAAGATAATGTACAGTGTGGTGTGTTGGTTAACGAGTTGAACTGGGGCCTGAGAAATCCTGGTTCTGGTACCAGCTTGGCCATGAAGCTCGCTGGGTGACTTTGGGCCAGTCACTCAGCCCGACCTACTTCACAGGGTTGTTGCTGTGAGGGTGAAATGGAGCTATGTGAGCTGCCCTGGCTTCTGACAAGAGGAAAAAAGCAGGCTATTAATGCAATGCAAGAATAATAGTAATGATGATAATACCACCAAATGTCCAAAGGCAGTTTATATCCTGTAATTTTACTGTGTTCATATCCACATTAACCCACTACATGTGTCAATCCAGTGCAAAGGACAGACTTCCTCTCCAACATATTGCTTTAGGCTGTTGATAGGTTTCCTGCAGTTTATAAGGTAGTCTTCTTTTAAAATAATTGAATTTATCCTTCATGAAGTGGCTACAGTTCCCTGCCCACACACAAATAATTATATGAATGGGAAGAAATAATAGGCAGTATCCAAAATGACCCTCATGCTCATATGCAGTGGTCATGAGGGCGAATGCCACCCTTGGTTGCATAGCCAGACACGTGACTTCTAGATTGAGAGAGGTATTACTACTGCTCTATACGACTCTGGTGCGCCCACAACTGGAGTACTGCGTTCAGTTTTGGGCCCCTCGTTACAGGAAGGATATAGCCAGCTTAGAGTCAGTGCAGCGTAGGGCCACAAGGTTGGTGGTTGGTTTGCAGGGAAAGCCATATGAGGCAAGACTGAGGGAACTGGGTCTCTTCAGCCTGGAGAAGATGTGAGGGGTGTCACACGGAGGTGGGTAGAGACCTGTTCTCCCTTGCAGAGGAGGGCAGGACCCACTCCAACAGAGCAAAGCTCAAGGAACCAAGGTTCAACTTGGATGCCAGGAAGTACTTCCTGACAGTGTGGACCCCAAGGGTATTGAATGGGCTTCCATGGGAGGTGGTTAAGACCCCATTGGTGAGGGTGTTCAAGGATAGGCTAGACATCCACATGGTAGGCATGTCGTTAGCAGAGTTGGCTGGAGCCAGGGGTTAGACTAGATGGTCCCGGAGACCCCTTCTGACTCGCTCTGTTTCTATGTTTCTATATCATTGATGTTGTGTCCTATAGCCCACCAGGAAGAGTATTATCTGGGTTTTGGGGACACCCATCACACTAGTAAATGATATCTGGGTTGCACTAGAGGTCACTTACCACCAGTACCATGTGAGTTACAGTAGCATTAGTGTCGACTTGGATGCTACCCAATATTTTTACTGAAGCTACAGGAATTTTTAAAAGGAGAATGTTTTAAGTCTTATGCAAGTGGCTGATGTGCCCTGCTTCTTGAACAGCATACAAAACTAGATTTTTTTTAAGGTGCAATAATTTGGAGTCAGCTCTTTCAGTATGTCTGGATGATTCTGGGCTGCTGGACAGACAAATCAATAACTGCTTTCCTAAGTTGTTCATGTTTGTAATTCCTACAAGCTTTGCAGGCAAATATAGGGATGAAATCCACATGGTTGAGAAAACACAGTGAGAACTGTATATAGAGGGAATGAGTATCTTTATGTTGCACAAATATTTGTAAATGTAACACAATTGAACTTTTTGGAAATACCTTAACATTGGGAAGGGACAATTACTTGCTCGGGGCTATGAGATAATGTGGAACCCATGGTTTGCGAATATAAAGTAGCAGGCATTTCAAATCAAAGATCTCAGGGAACAAATTTAGGAAAGGAACCCCTTTGCCTTTGGCTCCACCTACTATGAAATGGAACCTCCACTAGCTTCTCTGAAATTGAATGCAGCCCTCAGAGTGAAAGAATCATGAAATCATAGAACAGCAGAGTTGGAAGGGGCCAAGAAAGCCATGGGATCCAACCCCCTGCTGTTGCAGGACACCAGTTTACACCATCCCACTCAGCTCCATCTTGCCGTCCAGCTCCATCTTGAATGTCTCTAGTGTGGGAGAGCCCACAACCTCTCTAGGCAACTGGTCCCACTGTCCAACTTTTCCTGATAACTAGCCTAAACCTAAAGAGGTCCCCTCCCTCTGAGATGGAAGAACCAAAGGCCGGACTCAAATCTTTATCCATAATCTCACTTGGAGAATGTACTTATGTACCAAAAGGGGGATACAGGTAGAGTCACAATACAGAGCCACAATACAGGCAAATATTTTTCATCTTTGTGCCATGAAAAATTTCAGCTGCTGATTTCCTCAGACCAAGATCTCTAACATTTCCTGTGAAGCTCTCTCATCTCTGCCACCTTCAAAAATGTATTTTTAGTGCAAATCTTGAAAAATGTGAGGTCACCAAGACCTTCTTCTTGTTCCTACACGTGCTTCCCAACCCTGCCCAATCTTCACCCACACAGACTTCCCCCCCTATGTTTTCTCTCTCTTCCTGCTTCCACTCTGTAGCCTCATTTTTGTCTATTCACATCCAATTTCCTTGTTAATCCTATCCTTTCCCCATCCCCGGCCTTCCTTTTCTCCCTTTCTAGCTTTTAGCCTTGCTCTTCCTCTCCTCTCTACCCCTTTGCCTTCTTCTTTCTCCTTCCTTTGCAGCCACTAGCCCTGCTATTTCCCTCCCCGCACCCCCTCTTTTGACTATCAAGGCCCCACAGCTGCCCTGATGTGACTGGCCATGTTCCCACCAGGAGCCATTTTGTGTTGGTGCTTGCAGCAGTCTCTCAAATCCCCAAATATATCTTGCACGCAGTGCAGAAGAGCCAGTGTTTGTTTTCCTACCGCAAAACCCCTCACTGAGTAGAAATGGAGCTATTTATTCTTCCATAAAATACCAAGCAAGCTTTTCAGCTCAGCTCTCTAAAGGTTTACAGTATGAACACACTGATGACAGAGCCGAGGCAAATAGAAACTTGTTCCAAAGTTTATTGAAGTAAACACAAAAAGTGTCCGTTTGTGTCATCCTGCTCGCATTGTTAGGATTCAGGCCAACTATGCAATGGCTGTGGTATCTTGAGATGGACTCATCCCAGAATAATACAGGACAGCGGGGGTGGGGGGTGGGGGGTGTTTTTAAAAAAAAAATTATGGTGAATTAAAGCACACAGACATCACAGAAGTGTCCTTGAAGATACAGTCTGAGTCATGATAGACAAGAGCAGAGATGCACAGAGTGAAGTATGCTTTCTATAGCTTGATGTCAGTGAAGAGACTGGAGGGCTGAGTTGCATAGTCCTTGAAAACGAGAGTATTTTATTTTAGAGGTAGGGTTTTTTAATGTGGGCGGGAGTACAGTGGAAGGACTACCTTGGCTCTTGCCTCAGTTGATCATTATATACAAACGGATGCCTGTTCCACCTCAGCTGTTCTAAGATGTTTCCATTCCAGGGAATGCAGAACGTTAACTATCAGTTCCCAGTGAGGGTGCAAGGGGATTGGAGAGTGTACCAAACTTCCTTTCAAGGTGCTAAAATGAATCCCAAGGAGCAGATTGGTTGTGTTGCTTCAATGGGAAAAGCAATGCTGCAAGGGTGGCAAGAAAAGGGGAGCATCGTTCTGCCATGGTGATGCAGGCATTTGGCATGCAAGCACCAAGTCCAAGCCAGGCACCCCCTGCCGACCCTCCCTGTTGTCAGCTGTCCTGTTAAACTGCAAATCCCAAAGGGGAAAATGTGGGTAGGAACAGGAAATCATACAATGTTTGAGTATGGTGAGCTTCTATGAATTCCACCTTGAAGTTCATTTCACTTCATTCGCAATTGCAAAGGCAAGATAGGGTTTTTTTCAATTGGGTGAATGTGAGTTATAAAATTTTAAAATTCTGCACCCACCATGCACCCTTTTCCTCTGTAGGTTAAAGTGTGTGCATGTGATGGGGAAAGAATGGCATTTGCACAAGTACATGCTCTTAGACACAAGTGGAAGTGGTAGAAATTGTCCACATTTCTTGAGAATTGAATTTCTGCTTGTATTTGCATTTGGAGTAGTGAATGGGACATCTCTGCATCATTTGTGCATCCTTAACTGCCATCTCTGCACAACTGGGAGTCCTCACATATCAGCTTTTCTGATTGCACCAAGGTTTCAAGCCTGCTACCTAATGCAAGATAGGGCCCATGTACATGGAAATATGGAGGGTGGAGCTGGTTTGGCCCCCTTGGGCCGCCACTCTTTTAACCCTCACATGTGCAGGCTAAATGCCCCTTCAGGCTATGATTGGTGGTCTGACTGTTTATAGATTTGATGGATTCTCACAGATGTGCCTTCAAGTTTTGATGGTGGTTGCA